AGTAGTAGTCAAAGTAGTAGCAGTAGCAGTAGCAGTAGCAGTAGTAGCAGTAGCAGTAGCAGTAGCAGTAGCAGTAGCAGTAGCAGCAACAGTAGCAGTAGCAGTGGTAGTAGTAGTGTAGTCGTCGTCGTCGTCGTCGTCGTCGTACTAGCCGTCGTAGTAGTAGTAGTAGTAGTAGTAGTAGTAGGAGTAGTAGGAGTAGTAGTAGTAGTAGTAGTAGTAGTAGTAGTAGTAGTAGGTAGTAGGTAGTAGTAGGTAGTAGTAGTAGTAGTAGTAGTAGTAGTAGTAGTAGTAGTAGCGATGGTGGTAGTATTAGTGATGGTGGTAGTAGTAGTGATGGTGGTAGTAGTAGGCATGATAATAATAGCTTACAGCGTGCTGCCATTCTTGCGCACTTGAGCTACTCTGACAGCAATCGCCTCACAATTCTGAGAACGTTGCGGAACCTGTGTCATTGGTCTGCACATACCAACGCCCTTGGATGCATGCCAGCGCATCTCCTGTGGACAGGCAAGCAATGGTTTAGGGAAGCCTGAACCCTCTGGGCCAGGGACCAGTGCCCTATGCCCTGTGTTGACTATTCCACTCTCTGTCTCTCCCTCTCTCTCTCTCTCTCTGTCTCTCGACCGTTTCCACAATACCAGAAAACCCACCACTAGCCGTGACTAAACTCTCCGTAGGCCTGCGCAACAAGCCCAACTCGCCTTCGTCGTCATTGCCGGGCTCTTCCGCGAAGCGAAGCAAGGTGTCCCAAATGTCCGCCAAAGTCTCTTTCCCAAGTCCGCGGAGCCTCGTCATCAAAGGAATAGGAGCAGGAGCAGAAGTAGTAGTAGTGGTGGTAGTAGTAGTAGTAGTAGTCGTAGTAGTAGTACGTAGTAAGGGTGGAGGAGGAGAAGTAGGCAGCCCCGTGCGCAATTCAAACCCCCTTCCCGCGGCAACATAACAACTCGATTTGGGCCTACTTGTCATCGTGTTCATGAGGTTTGGGCACCCGAAGTCTCAGTGGCGTCCACAACCGTCAACCCTAAACCCTGCAACTCCGAACACCAAACCAAACCCTTGCTTACGGATCAGGGGATCTAGAAGTAAGGTTATAAGTACGCTCATGAGTTGGGGTTGTAATAGGTGACTATAGCTGCATGTAGTTACATCAAACCCTGCTTAGTAAATCCCCTTAGCCGTAGCAGTACGGTCATGTACTACTTAGGGGCCTAAGACAGGCTACTGTCCTAAACTCGAAGCAACCGATAAGCTAGATCCTGACTTATGAAATTAAAAGCCCCGACATCCAATTAACACATGTGCCCCAACATAGGGGTCGGCGTAGTTAGTAATGTTATCCCATTCCCTAATTATGATAGTATGTATAACATACTCCCGCCGCAACAAATAAACCAGTGAACCACGAGCCAGGGGGAGCCCGAACGCCGCGACCAAAGGTCCTGCCCCCCAAAGCCATCAACTCAAAATCCCATCAGCATAGACACTTCAGTAAACCATGGAACCAGAAACCTATAAGCCCAAAAACCTAAACAACCCCAACCGCAAATAACAGGGCCTTCCCAACAAAAGTCAAGGTATCAAAAACCATCCGAAACTCAAGCTTGACTTTCCCACATGACCGAAATCCTCACCAAGCGCGGGGCCAGCCAGACACGTCGTTCATTTCGCAACGAACGCCTGCACTAAGAGCCGCAAGCTTTGTTACTGAAATTTGCATCAAGCCAGCGCAAGTTCAGAGTTTGACAAACAAGCCCAATCGCAACCCTTCCAGTAGGCCTTGTAGTAACCTTAAATTTCCCTCATCGGTTTTAGCTTTAGATGTCCTGTAGTGCCTCCAGAGCTGCCTCGGGGTGTGAGTTCAGTTTATCCATCTTGCAGGATCAGGGGACATGTGAGCATTACGTGCTGTACTTAACTATATAATATAGGGGCATTGATTAGAATAGGGTTTCGGGGTATATCATACTAGAATTATGATAACCTAAACCCTAAACCGTCCTTTATGGTAGCTATGAGGAACGTCACTTTGCTTCTACTTACTTTGTCTGTGGGCGACTCATGCAAGATCTGCCGAAGACAGGTCCCAAGATCAGTCGATCAGTCTCGTCCACTCCCATCGTCAGGCACCCTTTATTCCTCAACACCTGCGCACCTTTCGCTGCCTGCTACCCTGAAACCAAACCCCCCCACCCGACGACATTCGAGGACCGCCCACGGCCACGTGTGTGAATGTCGCCGGACAGGGGTATCCAGACGGGAGCTACATCAACCTGTATCCCTAAATCCCTGTGAGACCTCACAAACACCCAACTCCCAAAACAAGATGAGCTAGTCGAAGCCCCTACGACGACCTAGACCCTCAGAGCCAACACGGTAAACCCTAACCCTCAGCAGCTCAGCAGGCAGGGCCAAACCCCACAGAAACCAGAACCGTAAATCACGCCATATCCACTCCAAGCCTAACACCGCCTGCCGACAGCTCCTGCAGCCCCAACAGAAGGGCGTTTAATGAGTATAATCGGGCTTGGGGGTGATATATTATATATAAGTATATTCTACCTTCAGATATCGAAAAATAAAGGCATACTAGTACGTAGTGGTTCTTCAAACCTCCCTATTGACCTGCGGTAACACCCTCTAGACCCTTCGAACAACCATACGAACCATCACTTGCTCCAACTCGGCGGCTTTCATCAGCACACATGTTAAAGCAAAAAACACTGAGACTCTGAACCCTCAACACCTAAACCCTAAACCCTAAACCCTAAAACCCTAAACTCTAAACCCTTGTCGCACCCCTAAAGGAACTTGAGGGCATCCTCAAAGAACCGTTAACCCCAATCCTAAACCCCTAAACCCTGAACCCAAACTTAGGGTTTAGGGTTTAGGGTTTTAGGGTTTGGGGTTTGGGGTTTAGGGTTGTAGGGTTTAGGGTTTAGGGCTTTAGGGTTTAGGGTTTAGGGTTTAGGGTTTGCTTATGAACCCGCTCTAAAACCCCATGGGCCCTTTGCAGCCCCGACCTCCTGGCAGCACCCAGCCGCCATCGTCTTCCCAGGGAAACCCCACCTCAGGACCCCTTAGGGTTCAAGGTTTACGCTTAGGGTTCTGGGTGTGCGGTTCAAAGCTCAGCCATATACTTAGACAGCCTTCTAAGGGTTAGGCTGTAAGGCTTTGGGTTTTGGGTGGTAAAAGCTAAAATTGAGCTTCTGTTCGCTCAAAAGTCAGGGTTCCGGGATCAGAGCACCAAAATTCGAAGAGTGCGTTTGTCGGCTTTAGAGACCATGGCGTCGGGTTCAAAACCGAAACCCCTCGCCGGTGAATCCAAAGCCTCGAAACCCTCAGTCAGAAGGATGAAGGAAGCCCAAACCGCAACCGAGAATCCCCTAAACCCTAAACCCTAAGACCCTAAACCCCGAACCCTAACCAGGGTCTTGCCCTATGCCCAAAATCAAAGCCCAGAAGCCCTAACCCCTAAACCTGAAATTCAAAAAGTTCCAATCCCAACACCCAAAAAGCCCGAAAAGCTCTAAACCCGAAACCCCAAAAAGCAGCAAACAACGCGAACAAAAGCAACCAAAAAGCCACCAACAGTCCTAACTTACAGCCCGAAACACCCTAAAAGTCCTAAAACCTAAACCCTGAAAGCCTAAACCCGAAACCCTAAAC